GACGCGCGAAAAGTTTAATCGCGATCAATCGAACTGTCTTTTCACTCCAGATCCAATCACTAACACTTTGATACCGATTAAACTATCACAATTAACAAGGAGAATTTATAAGAATCTAAAAATATTCCTATTTGAATGGCGACGTTTTTCTTCCAGAATTTTCATGGTATTTATTAATTAATTCTGTACAATATATTAATTTGCGAAATCTATTAAATTGAATTTATATTGACTAAAATGTTAATCAATTTATATAGGAAATATAGGAAGATAATTAGGATCGAAATATAGGAAGATAATTTGAAAGTAGCGAAATAGTTGTGAAACTGTTGATGACACGGTCCACTTGGCAATTGATAGTTAGTATGTGATAGATCATTGGTGATGCAAATGGGTTAATGACCATGAATCTTCGTGCACATGTCGAGACGGTTTTTCCATTAGGTCTTTATTGCCAGCTTAACGCTCAATGTCGCGCAGGAGTATATATTTTCTTCTCTCGTGCAGCATCACTTTCTATCCGCGGAGATATATTTCCATCCATGTTCCGAGAAAGTTCCCGACCTCAACTTTCCACTTTGAACCTTCACCGAAGACTGCCACGTAGTCTATCGATCGTCGGTGTTTAAGAAAAACGACCGTTGATCATTATCAATGAGAAACTCTTCGAGATAAACTTTGAACCATCATTAAATTCATTCGAAATAACATGTTCGACCGAACAGCTAGTAATAATATATAATATGTGTACCGTACACACGATTGAATCGCGCGTATATATTAAGAAATTTTTTAAATATCCGCAAGCGTTACATATATACAGAGAGAATTGTCTCTTAGAATTTATCCTGAAAATTCTGGTAATCATCAATATATACATAATATTGGAAGAATTTTTCTGATTAATATTTACCACAATAAAAAATATTAAACACAATAAAATAGTAAATTTTATTACGGGCCACAAATTTTATTCGACAGGTAGCATATTTTTGTCTCTTCAGTCAGGTTTAAAAACAACCGATCCCCTGTGTACATATCTTATTGTGGTAGAGATTAATCTGATTTTTATTGTGGTAAATATTAATGAGAGAAACTCTTCTAAAATTCTTCCAATACCATATCGTCCTATGATTAGCATGATTTTCAGGGTAAATTCTAAGAGCAAATTCTCTCTGTGTACATATATGCTGACATATATACAGGGTGTTTGGTAACTAACGGATTAGGGGCGGATTCTCTGGCCAATTTGGAGACGATTTTTCGTTAGCAAAAATGTTGAGAAGTCAATGATTTTCGAGTTATAAGCGATTGAAAAAAATAGGTTTTTTGAAAACTAAACGTTTTGGAGTAAATCTAACAATTACATTCTTCAGTTAATTTCAGGTAAAGTTTGCTATAATAAATTTTAATTTGAGGCTTAGTTATAAAGATACATAATAACAAATATTGGAAAGTTGTAAAAAATGATGACCTTTTTCGACATTTTCGCCGAGGAAAAATCGTTCCCAAATTGACCAAAGAATCCATTTGTAATCGTTGATCCGTTACCGTACACTCTGTACATCGTTGTGGAAACTTGGTCACGACGTGTCGACCGTCGTAAAGCGAGAGAAGCGAAGGATGCTGCTAACTGCTACGGAATCTCAAGTGTTTGTAAAATAAAACGCGTCCATCCGAGGGTTATAAAATCTACTCGAGCTCCTCGTGCACGCGGCTCGGCTGTAAAGGCTCGCCTCTCGCGCTCTACGTTACATGCATCAATTCCCAAAGTCAATTAATCTAATGGATCCGTCCGCTCGTTTCTCCGATCCCCCACCGCGATTCTCCCTCAACCCCTTCCACCCCCGGGTGTCAGAGGTTCGTTCCCCGCCCTCGCCCACTCTCTCTCGCTCTAAATGCGTTCGTTGTGCAACGAATGCATCTAGGAGCGGTTGCGCGGCGCACTTAATTTCTATTCACTCGCCTCGACTCGGCTCGCCGCGTAAACGTGTATATATATATATATATATATATGTACGCGGAATTCACGCGCAAATATGCGAACACACCTACACGCTGTCTTAGCCTCCACCAGGTGAGAATAGGCGAGAACGGAGACAATGGCTGTTTGTCGTATACTTAACGATCGGATCGAACATCGCGAGAGACGTCTCGACACAATTAAATTATATGTTTCCCGAAGAAAAATTTTAGAGGATTAACGAGCTCCTCTTCAATTCCCGTTTGCACGTTGAAAAAAAAAGAGAGAATAATGAATAAATGAATTTTTCATCGTTTTTCTGACGTTGAATAAAATATATTTCAATTTCCGAAATTTGAATGAACATAAATAATTGAAAAGATTTCGTTCAAAGAAAAGGTTTATTTAAAAAATTATGGCTGTTTGTCGTATACTTAACGATCGGATCGAACATCGCGAGAGACGTCTCGACACAATTAAATTATATGTTTGACGAACAAAAATTTTAGAGGATTAACGAGCTCCTCTTCAATTCCCGTTTGCACGTTGAAAAAAAAAGAGAGAATAATGAATAAATGAATTGTTCGTCGTTTTTCTGCCGTTGAATAAAATATATTTCAATTTCCGAAATTTGAATGAACATAAATAATTGAAAAGACTCCTTTCGAAGAAAAGGTTTATTTAAAAAATTACGAGAAATGATTAATCTCTTTCGCATTCAAACATTTTTTGTTAAACTGTGTCAACAGTCTCCATTCGTCGGTATTTCACGCGTATATACTTCTATAAGCATGTTTGAATAGTTAAATACATATGTTGATAATTGTAATCATCGCGTAACGCTGCCAGAGATAAAAAGCTTCTGCTTTATTTGCTATACACAAATTTCGCAGATCAGCGAGATTTTTGCGCGCTAGGATAGTGTCACTGAAAAAAAATGACTAAATTAATGCATATATTTAATTCAACACTGCCAAATGAATCATTTATTTGAAACCAATAAATATTTATTTTGTTTTGAAAAGAATTTTCTTATATCAAATAAATATTTTTCAAATCAATACCTATTATTAGTTTCAAATAAATGATTCATTTGGCAGTACTGAAATAAATGCTCATTCGAATAAAACAAATATTTTGGTCAGTATACAGAATATACTCCAGCGGGGTTTCAGAAATCGCGATCCGAAGTCTTGGAAAAAAAAATCGGGGTTATCTCGGAGAGAAACGTCACGCGGTGTGACGGATCGTCGCTTTAATTAAGCGCGGAACGTAAGCGTAGCCGGGGAACACGTTAAAATTACGGAGATATCTTCGCGTTGCCCGTTACCTTCTTGCCAGATACGCAACGCTATACTGCAACAAAGTGTTACAGGAACGTGCGCTTGCGGTTGTGCATACACGAAAGTGCGCGCAATTGTGTCCCGAGAGATTTCTCGTGCATTTTCCAACCGGCGGACTTTGTAGGCGAATCAATTATAACTGTGCAGTGTGTTTAACCCGCGATTATAAATGACGGGTTAAATCGCGGGTTTCTCACGAGGACGCGGGAACTTGATTTCGATTGACCCGTTTAGTCGCACGCTACAAATTGGAGATTATAAGCAAGAAATTCATTAAATCAATTAAAAGTTACATACGTGTAAATCATGAGCGAGACAAAAACGTCAAAGTATATCGATCATCTCTCGGGAGAAAAAGAGTTCTCGATTTACATATGGCCTTTCTCTCTTACGTGCTATTTTAGTCGTGCGTATGATTATCGTCCGAAGAGATGACCGACGTTAAATTGGCGGTTTATCGTCGTGTGTAAACGCGTACGTCCTTTCATCCTCGTATACGCGGCAATTATTACAACGACAAATCGATAAAAAAATACGTACGAAGAGGAAAGCTTTTAAACGAGAAACTAATATACGCACACATGTACGTAGCGTCAATGGCGTGCATATATTGTATATGTTACAAACAAGGCTTGAAAACCGGTATAACACGTCGATGTGAGAGATCTATATTTTCAGTGCTACAAGTACGAAAGAAAGATAAGTCTAACATATGCATGTGAATCCCGTAAAGAAACAAGTATCGATGACTGATAAACAAATTTTTATTTTATTGAAAAATGTAAGATTTGCTTTTAATTTTCGTGAGCTTTAATTTAAAATCGAAACATATATATATATATATCGCCTCCTACGATATCATCAACATTTCAGTTCTTGTCCTTGACCCTTAAGTTATTGCGATATCATTATCGGGAGCAAACGCGAAGATTATTTTCATCGAAATTTAGAGACGTGTGTATACAATATCGTGCAACGTGCAATCTTCTCAACAAACTTCTCAGCACCTTTCATTCTCGTAAAAATCTGATGATGGCTCTCGTCCAACGAAAACTCATCGTACTAAAAATAGGATGGATGGATTTTCGCGTCACATAAATTTTTATTCATTTTTCGTTTTTTAAAGAGAGGGAAGGAGAGAATTTCACGTGCGACGTAATTTCGTGAATAAAATATCTTTCGATCGGTATCGATCTTCCGAACGTGACCTTACGGAGGCCGGATCGAGGATGCTACGCGTACGCACGCACACATGACATGTGGCAGGGGGGGAAGGGACGGGTGGGGGAGGGGAGGGAGCGGTTCGTATCGCGTTCGCTGGTAAGATCCAGTAACGAAGAGAGCTCGGCGCGCTCAGTTAGCACGAGACTCGCGATCGGGCAGCACAGAGTCGGAGAGAGAGAGGCTGGTGCCACACGACGACCGGCTCTCTTCTTTTTCTTTCTCGCGATCTCTCTCTCTGTCTTTCCTGTGCGCTTCGATCCGATCGATACCTCGAGGAATCCGATATCGATCGACGACGAAGAGGAGAGACGCATCGAAGGAGCATCGAAGGATTCTGCAGGAGCTGCGAGCATCTATATTCTCTCTCCCTCTCTTCGTAGTGCGCCACGTAATAATAATAATAATAATAATAATAATAATAATAATAATAATAATAACAATAATAATAAATAATAATAATAAATAATAATAATAGTAATACACTATATATATATATGTATATATATATATGTCGGTTCGTCTCTGTGAATGTGAAGTAAACGCGTTCTCTCGAAATTTCTTCTCGACGAAGTGTCGCGAAAATATGTGCGTGTAAATTTCGTTGCAATTGTGTAATTATCTATGTGTTGTAGCTTTTCCCATTCTAGAGATGACTTATTTCCGCATACCGGTTCTTCCCTCCGCCTTCCTCTCAACTTGGTTCGATCGCACGACGAGCGTTCGCGATTCTCCGAAGAGGGCCGGCAAGTCCCGGTGTGTATTCCTCTTTGGATTTTTTTTTTTTTTACCGCAAGTGCATCTCTCCGGATTTCCGGTTCTCGTGTCAAGTGTATGTGTGTGCGATGCATATATTATATATATAATATTTCGTAATCCCGCGATATACATCTCGATTGCACGCGCGGTGGATGATGCTGACCCCGCTGGAAATTTACGCGCGTGACGCGTTTATCTCGTCAACGTGACGTCACTGATCGTCGAGGGAAATAAACATGCGCCTGCCCGGCGTAATATTCCGCTGATATATTAATACCGACGATGTATAAACATTGCCCCGACACAATTGGCAAGCTCCGCGGATAGCCTCCTCTTAAATACGTTCGGGAATCATATTAATTAACTATACGAGATAGGAATGTCCGAGGATGAATAATTCATTCGTCGAATGAGGTATTCATCGAATAAGTATACGCTTCCTTCTTTAGCCGTGAGCAAAGGAAAATTAAAGAATATGGTGTTTTGTCTCTGTAACATGAGTAAGTTACGTCTTGTTGATGCAATCGGACTTAAATCATTCATACAATGCACTTACCGTAACAACGTCTTAGTCACTTGCATCATCTATGTATATGTGTGTTAGAATCGAGAAAATATCATAACTGCGAAAACAATCCTTGAACAATAAAATTGGAAAAAAATAGACACGTTGAGAATGTAACGGAGAGAGATCTTCGAAGGGCAGTGTAATTTCAACGAGAAGAATTAAGTAAAAGTTTATTCCGAGAAAATAATATATAAAATAAGATGAAAAAAAGAGAGACGCACGCATGAAAGTATAGAAAGCGCGCGATTTCTGCGATATCCGATTTCTGCGGAAGGAAATAGTTTCTCTCGTTTTTTATATATATTTCCAAGAGAGACGAACAAAATTGCCTCATATATATCGTATACAAATTATGGTAGTACACATTATTCTATCAGGCTTTTCACGCGTTCCTAAAAATAATCACCCTAGCGTCTGCAAAATTTTTTCCAGAACATAATTAATTTTTTGTTCTTTTTTTAATTAAAAAGTTTTTGTTACTTTTCATATTCTATTCAAAAGGAAAGCATATTCTTAATTTTTTTTATTGATTTCGGGTAGAAAGGGGCAAATGATAGCATCCGATATCGGTCCATTCTCGCGCGCTCTCAGCGATGTAAAAACCGGAATCGCGCAAGGTTCTTCATTTTTATTTTTTTTTTGCCGATTCGTTCCGAATTGACGATGTCTCTCTGACTTGCCAATTCTCGACCAATTTGAGCGGAATGTCGTAAGCAACATTGCCGAGATACGTGACGAGTATAAGCGTCGCGAATGCGCGTTAATTTGCGCAACTAGTCGTAGGTGCAACAGGTTTCGTCCGAGAAACGTTATTGAGAAAAGTGTGCGTCTGTCGCGAGAATTGAATCTATCGATCGATCGATCGATCTATCTATCCGATGAGCCGGGATCTCTTTATACGAGCCGCTTCATTAACTCGCTCGATCGCCCATCAGCATATTAGCCTATTTCGTTGCAAATGGCCAGCGTCTTGTTATAATCCCCTAATCGCACCGACTGTATCGTGTAAAATTACATTGTTACCCGTAGCGACTTTTTATTAAAATCGCGCTCTCGCGTCTCGAGATTGAGATAATCGCTTTCGAAACTTACCGTTTAATATTTCAGGAGTGAAATTGATCTACTTCACTTTCCGCAGATTTTCTCAATTTTAATATCAGGAGCGCTTAATCGTGCGCTCCGGTGTTAAAATTGAGAAATTTACGGAAAGTTGATCGGAGTTTTACTTCTAAAAGACTAGTTTATAATAAAGATACTTGGGGATTAATTTTTTCCATCTCTTGCTAAGTTTTACCTAACAGGTAGCATATCGTCGTCTCCTTTCAGGTATAAGTTTTAAGAAACGAGACAAAGATATACTACCTGTTGGGTAAAACTTTCCAAGAAGTTGGGACAACCTTAATTAGTTAGATAATGATACGATATATTGCAAACATGCAAGAGCGCTATAATATCAGTTCTCTCTGATTCTAAACTGATCTCTGTTTATATCGGTCTAACAATAAACTTTAAAGGGTTTCTCTCCGCACATTTATCGGAGCATAACGCTAACTCATTTACGTTAATCACGTTAGCAAGTCGCGAGAAAATCCGCGTGACGTCGCGGTTCTTCAATGAAGCGTGTTTCATGATCAGTTCCGAAAAAGCCCGCGGCCGCGTTTTTCTGGTGAAAAGTATGCGTCTCGAGTACCGTTTGTTGTCCAAGATTGCATTCAACGTTCAAAGTTTGTACGAAATATATTACGTGTGCGAAAAGTTTCGAGAATATAGATAGCTTAATTATACATATATTGTTATGTTCAAAAATAAACAAAATAAACTGTTAAATAAGGAAATATATTACAAATTAGATATAAAGATTTATGTGACAATTATGATTTTAATTAAAGGAATTTTCTTAAAGTTTAATTCGCGTAATGAAAAAATTAAAGCTTAAATTATATTAATTGTTATTACATTTATCAGTCAGAAAATGGGTAATTATATATATATATATATATATATATATATATATATATAATTATTTCTAATAGTAATATATACATACATATACATACCAATATGATTATATATGTATATATATATATAATTACATTTGTTATATAATCGTTTTTCAGACTGACAAGTGTAATAACGATTAATATAATTTAAGCTTCAATATTTTGTCAATATATATAGATAATAAAATAGATAATACAACCAAGAATTTTTTAATATTTAATATAAATAATTGATTAGACTCATATGGTTAAAAATTTTTTGTACAATCATGTAGAAATGTCACGCATGTCGAGAGTTCGGATATTAATATGTTGCACTATGATGCATCGTTTATACTTATTTGCACACACTCTCTCGAGCTATCGATCTCAACTAGTCTCGCAGTCGTGTACATATTTCGTATTGACATTTGACACGAACATAAAGACTGTACAAGGTGGGTGATGACGATGTGATGTTTTGCGGTCGGTTCAACACACCCATTTCGTCTACACATGATGACGGAACATGATTCCTCGTAATTTTCTAAAGAATATTTTTAATAGCGAAATGCATTTCATCTAACAACAAGTGTCTTCTTTGACATTTTTAATATGTCATTAATCTTTCTCTTATATTTCTTTCGGTAGACATTTTATTTATACTTAATTTTATGCTCTTTAAAATTTCAAAAAATATATTTAAATCACATAAGACTAGTTCAGAGAGAGAGATGCAATTTAGATAGGAAGATAGATAGGGAATTACCGTGAACCGCTTTATCGAGAGATCATGTATGTATGATCGACAGACGATCGACCTTCGAAATTAATATTTCCTTCTCGGTATATCCTCGTACATATTCATTCCTCTCTCGCTCACCGTCGAGGTTCTTCTCTCGTGCTCGATGATCGTAAAAGCGAATTCTTCCGCGCGGACGACGATATCGCGAGGAATTCGCCTCGCCTTGCCTACCAGGCGTAGGCAGCGAAAGAGAGTGCATCGTACAACGGAGATATGCACTACTGAGCTCAAGGAGACCCGCTCACACACACACACACAATAATGTGCAGTACGCACGCTGTCCTTTGCGACGTCGCCTGGTGCATCCACGAGGACGCGTTGCAATTTCTCTCACCGGTGAGAAACCGCCTCTTCTTCTCCACGAACGTCGTCCGCGTATGAATAAAGTGAATTTTCGATTCTCCATGCGTCGCTCCCGTCGTCTTTGCATATATCGTCCCATTAATCCGCGATCCCAAGGTGATCGGAGATTTTTACATCGCGAGAGATGACGTCGATATATTTTTAGACGCGTTTTTTTTTTAATATATCGCACGATTGCAAATTTCACAAAGCCAAATTAATATAGTGCATTTACTGTCTTTTTCTATATTGTTGTTTATTAATTTCAAGGGCTAGTTGTTCCAACTTCTTGGTAAGTTTCACTTGATAGGTATTAGCAGATCATCTTTGTCTCTTTTTTGAGAATATTCTATCTGTCGGGTAAAACTGATCAAGTTGAAAAAATTGATCCTAAGGCTCGATTGCATCAACGTTATTTTGGCTTTAAGCGAAATTTAAATATATAATTTAAATATATATCTTGTTTTCTAAATAAATAAAAAAAACATTTAAATCTCGCTTAAAAATCAAAATGATGCAATCAGGCCTATAAGAAACATATTTATTCTTTCACAAAACAAAAGAAATCGTACATTTTTATACCTTTTCTTATTGCAATTAGATTGCATCAGCGAGGTAGAATGGCAAAATAGAATCGCAATATCACAATTTATTGAATAGCAGCGTATACAGCAGATTGTGTATAGCCATGAAATAAATCGCGTGTTTGCGTTCGTCGGTATTTTTTCGAATGTCTCGAGAACCCGTCCCTTGTTCTATGTTTACACGAAAATTATCGGGTCTTGTCGTGTCTTTCTATCGTATAGTCGATGATTCATGCCGTGCGCTTAGGAATGTCGACCTCTCACGACTAAACCCGAAGGAGAAGCTCGCCGGCGTTCGTTATTCGGGACACGACCGGATATCCGCTGTAACACTATCTGAACGAGTGGGGTACCACTGTTATCTATCTGCAAACGCGCGTCACACAAATTTGACATATATATAACGGTCTCACATTATATATAGATGATCTGAATTAAAAGTTGTTCAATGAACGCGATCAGACACCGTCGATATAAGTATATAAGATGGAAATTTTTTTCGCGAATATTACGAAACGCGATGGGAATATATCGTGCGGGAAAACTCCAGAGAGTAGTATATTCCACCTTGACCTCGTAAAAGCTTCAACGTTAAGCGTCGTTTTATGCACTTGATTCCGGCCGACCGTAGATGATTAGTTTAATTGGATTGGACTGTTCCCTTTTTAACATAATAACTATCCACGGAGACCCAAGTGGATTGACATTATTGAAAAGCTCTGGTTAACTCTTTCTCTTTCTCGCAAAGTAGCTTTCTACAGGTCACGCGAGCTTACATAATTTTCGATTAGACAGCTTAATGTCCCCAAGTCTGATAGAAGAACGAGCCTGGTAGAGGATAATTGCTAGAATGTTTTAAGAATGTTGCCAATAGTAAATTTTTCCAATAGACGAACACACTTACCGAAAAATTTAGTAGCGCAATTTAATTAATGACACAATGGACTATTAAATTACTTTGACAACTGTGATGTCTATATCGTAATGCACAGCTGTATTTCACATCCTGTTCTGTCTGGCTATTATCACATTAACAGATGCAAACGCGCAGTATCTTCGGGTATTTGCGAGCGTGTTGGAAATAATAATAACGAGATTGCGTCTACTGCATTTCGGATTAAGATAATTAATTTAAACGTAGCGTAGAAAATTATCTCGCTGTTAAAATTACAAGAGCGTCAAATTCATTTCGGTAATGTTAATTGAATAATGTTAATTAGAATTTTTTATGGGCGCGGGATACATTTTTCTCTCGGTAATTTATTCCATACTGATAATAATCAACTTTACATGCTCCTCGTTTGTCATGCGATTATTTTTTAGATGCGCGACATAAAATTTAACGAACAAAATTGTGCAGATATTCATTAATCATATTGTACTTTTCGCTTTGGCGATCAAGTTGACTTTCGCTGCGCGACTAAATTTAAAACTCTAATTAGGACATATATACTGAAAGTAGGTTTCGGATTCACTCTGCATGGTTCGGTATATAGCTTGGAGTTTTCCTTCGCATGTCTCGCGGAAATAACGCGCTTTATCACGCTTACATGAACAGAGTAAAGTCTACACTAATTATTCCGGTTATATAGAAGTTGCGCTTGCGCTTCAACTTCAACGAATTTCCCCACCGCCCTCGTTTACATTAATTTCATGTCTTCATAACGTCATCAATTTCTACCTCGCCAAACTGACGTCATCGCGCGTCTTACGGTCACTTTATCATGGGACTCTGATTCTGAATGAATCTAATGAATATTTCAGCGCATAATTGACCGCGCGACTTAAATCTTATTAAAAAATTGGGGGAGGGAGAATTTATACAAATGTAGATAGACGAGAAAAAGAAATTGCATTACGCTAATTGCGAAGATATAATTAAACGACACGCGTGACACGTGGCTAGTGACATTTCGGATCGCAAGAGACGAATTAATGTTTCACGAGGGAGACGATGACCCCGTTCAGCGAATAGATTTCGAAATGCAGACAAGGATCTCCGGTAATGTGACTTTCCAGGAAGGTTCATCGGGTGCAATAACCCCCGGCTAATCCTATCCGTAAGATCTCGTCCATTATTTTATGTGAGGGTATTTTAAGGAAACGAGATCGATGAATGTAACGAGCGTGCATCCAGCTGCGTTTACAGTTCGCAATTAGGTTTTCTGTGGCGATGCTGGATGTATCAATACTTTTCAATCTATGCTAGCAACAGAATGCTTTTTAATAATGAAAGTCTAGATATATAATTGAAATTCATAAAATATTTCAATTCACAAAAATATAATATCTACTTTCTTTTGTAGTTGATGATAAAAATTCAGAAAGAAATTCTCTCTACTTTTAATTATTTTCTAATACACGAAGATGAATAAATCAATTAATGTCAGTTGAATAAATACTCTCAGGGATATAATTACGCAGATAATAAAAATTCTACCCACAATATTAAATATCGCAATCTCGCGTCTTCCTTACAAGAGATGTAGTTCAAGCAACATTCAATTATAGGTATAATTGTATCGTTTTAAGGGGTATCACGAAATTGTAAAGAGACGACCTTTTTATCTGTCACACAAATGTCCTTAATTAAATCTCGCGTAACGAGTTGCGCTCGTGGTAAGCCGTTTAAATATTTGCGAATCGCGATAAAGGCGATTTCGAGCCAGCTGCCGGCGACGTCTACTTCGACGGCAACACCTGCACCCAGCAACTCGTCGCTGTCGAGCCAAAATCGCGCAAACAAACGGTAGAAGCCGCACCAATGGAAAAGCGCCGCGCACAAATCTAATTAATCACCGCTCCGATTGAAGGAGGAGGAAGCCGCGTAACGTCTCGTCGTCGCGTCGCCGTTGTCAATCGAGAGAGCTCTCTCTCTCTTTCTTTCCTTTTTTCTTTTTCTCTTTCCCTCTTTCTCTTGTTTGCGTTACGACATTCGCCGCAAAGGATCGACTTGCGCAAAGAATGTCGGATCGCAATCGCCAAAGTGGCGCATGCAAACCCGACGACTTCCTTAACCAGTCGACTCGTTTTCGCAGAACAATCACCGAAGTTGAACGAAAATCCGACGATAGCTCGTCACGCGAGAGAGGTTGTTTACTTCTGAATTAGTGTAAACGGGACCCGGGAGAGTGTCGAAACACTAACACAGAGTCGCAGTTCGCAACTTTGCGCCGCACGATTAAATTGTACGAAAGTTTAGCCCAGTGTGATTTACCGTGACGAATGAGGTGAGTGACACTTTGAGAATTACTCCGAGGATCATCAAGAGGACATGTCAACGTGAAGACATTGTGTTGCTCTATTTTTTGAAAAATTGGTCGAACGAAAAATCCGAGGGTCGGTCCAAATTCATTCCAATCAATAGCCGGTCCATCGATTGCGACACAGAAGAGTGTCCTCTCTCTCCCGTCGAACGGGTTGACGTTGCACACCTTGTGGAAGCAGCTTAAGTGCGAAGCGCCTCGAGTTACCAGATCGACCAGCAGCTGCACTCGACATCCTGTGTCGCTTAGGAAGCATCGAGATCTCGCGGTAGATGTTACAAACGAGCCAAGAGAGCCGCGCGAGAGGTATTGTGAAAGGAGCGGAAGATCGAACTAACTTTCTCTCCTCGTGGTAACAAAGACGTTTAAAACTGCGATTATAGAACGGTTTCTGATATACTCTTAGCTTTCCAAGAAGGCGTTCCGAAACCGTGTTTCGTAGCCGAAGAGCGACAACAAAGCAAAGTCACCTTCGAAGACGTAGGAAATCTTACATCGTCGAAGAAAAGACATTTTTCCTGAGAAGACAGAATAATATATTCTAATTTTAAAATTACACGACAAAAATCTGAGAACATTATTTTCAACAAGAGTGCAATCTCTTCTTTTACATTTCAACGTTCTTATTATTAGTCGTCGTATTCTTCGTCATATACGCTCCTGAAAGGAATACGATTACTGGAACTCCGATCGATAAGGTGAAGTCCGTGCTGGGGCAGCAAAAACGCTCCGTATTTGGAAGTTTATCGTCACCGAAGCGGCAAGAAAAACGTCAGGATTGCTCCGCACGTGGACACGATGTACGTGACGGAGTCGGGAGGCCACAAAGTGGCACCCGCGCCCGCGTCGACGCGGCTGAAGAAGGTGGTGGACTACAACAAGTCGATGAACCACCATTATCATCACCAACAGCAGCAACATCATCACCATCATCAACATCGTCACGAGGGCGGTGATCGCGGCGGCGGAACGCACATCGCCGCGACGGTGAAGAACACGGTACGTCGACTGTTACGTCGCACCAAGAGCCACCGCGACACGCCGTCGACGAACGCCTCGACGATGACGGCCGTCGTCGCCAACGGCCACGTCGCGGCGCCGCCGCCCACGCGGATACCCACCGCGAGGAACGACACTAGCAACGCGCCGCCACCCATGTCGGACGTCTACTGCAGACGCTACTCCAGGCCGCGCGTGAGACCTCAGGTAAGCGAGAAAGAAAACGAGAGATCCCTGCTTATAAGAATTTGCGAGAGTTTGAGAGGACGGGTGCAGCTGCGGAATCATGTAACAAGGCAATTTATCTCTTCTCTCCAACTATACTAGATTAACATATTTAAATAATTTTTTTTTACAATCAGAATATAATTTCTTTAAACCTTTCAATCAAGACATACACGGAGAGAATTTTCTCTTAAAATTTACCCTGGAAATTATAAAAAATATTAATGTCTATCGCAATAAGATATAAAATATGTTCGATTGATTTTACATGTGTATACATATTAATATTTTTTATTATGGTAAATATTAATCAGGGTAAAGTCTAAGAGAAAATTCGCTCCGTGTAGTTTACTTATTTCTAAATGGATTAAAAAATATATGATAATAATTGGACCATTCGAAAAAAAATTAAAGGCAAAAAACAACTTGATTTTATAAGGAAAGCGATTTAAAGGTTTAATATTTTGTATTTAACGTGTTTTTTACAACTAAAAATCATTTTACATTCAAAAAGTCAATTAAAAAAGAAATGACTATTTTAGTTATTTTTGAAGCACACTCGTCCTCTGAAGTATTTCTCTGCGAACGTTTCTCCTGACCTTCGTAGGCCTTTGTCACGGGAAATGACGAGACTTCTCGAGGGCTTGTCATAATTGTCTGTCAGGGTGATTGTTGCGAGGCGTAGCGAGCCTGCACATAGTAGTCACAATATTAAAACAGGTATCTCTTGATATGGATTAATTAAAGAAACGTAAAGATATGCGATATATAAGGTTGTGCGAATATATCTGTTGGAAATTAGAAAAAATTTAGAAGATAAATATACATGTATTAGGAATTTTTCTCATAACTGGATAACTGTATTTCATTCCATCGAATTGAAAATATACCTTTCTTGGCCGCGTGTCTTTTTTGCGAGCTTGAAACACGTGGAATTCGCTGAAAAAGCAACTGGAACCAGTTTGCCGTCTGCGGATAATAGCCGACCAAAAAAGAACGATCGCAGGACTCCTCTCGCACGGGCGAGGAAGAAGTCGGGTAAAAGTGGCGGTGATATCGCTCGTTTATTTGCGGCAGGTGCGCGAAATATGCCGCGTGCGCGGAGATTGCAAGGCGCAAGTCTCTGCGTCTCGGGTTTAATCGACCATTTGGGCTTTTGATGATTAGGAATGGCGAATGATTGATGATGCTTGACGCGAGAAAGCGGCGGCTTCTCGCTTTCCACAAAGAGCGTATCTTGTGAGAGACGATATAATATCGTCTTTAATACGAAACGATAATATTAGCACGATGGATTTATCTTGTTTAAATGGCGCGCTGATTAATCGCACTTGGGCGTAGTAAAATCTTTTTACCTTCGCTAATTTTCGCATTTCCTCGCTGCTCGTTTCCGTTATTCTTCGTCATTCCGATGAATCGATCTGTTTTTTGCGTGTGTCGCGCGAATAAAAACGTGTGTTGATAGACAGAGTCTCCTACTCTTGCGATACTGTTTATTATTCAACATATGATGCATGAACGCGCGATCTCGAGAGTGAGATCATCAAAGTTCTTTCAGAAGCTTGCTCGGTTCGAGGAAAAATAATTTCGTAGGTTCACACTCGAGAGAACATCGTGATTACTAATTTACAGGCTTCTTAGAGTCCGTGCATTTTACGCAAAACTTCAGTCAAAGAGTTGCACAATTAATTATGATATAATTAATCTCCATCAATTATACCGTAATTAATCCACAGATACAAAGAAAAATAATTACGTATAGCGATTAAATTAGCAATTTCTAAAAATAATTAAATCATATTTTAAGAAATATTTATAATTTAAACAAAAATACATAGAGTCGGAATTACAGGATATTTATTTATATATGATTTTCAAAATCAATGATAAAATAAGTATAATAAAAAATAAAATTGCACGTCTTATATTCTTCTACTCACATTGTTATCATGCATTTCTCTTCGAGTGTTTTTGATAAATTTTAATCTTAATTAAATTATTATGCACATATACATATACGTGATATATCTGTTTATCCAAACATTCGTCGAGAAGAAACGTAAGACTTCTCCGAAGTTGCTTCATGAAATATCTCCCGCAAGAGAGGGAGAGAGTAATACGATCGCTAATTGCATAATTGATCTCGTAAAAGCGAACAAATAATTGAATGTTTAACTGTGTCGAGTATTCGTATACTATATGTATATAACGGTATCTGTTAAAACAAATCGATGATCGTTAAAACCTTCGATTAATTTACGATATTTCACAACCCGAATTTAAAAGAATTTAAAAACTGCTCGAGACAGATTTGTATAAAGACAATACACGAGAAAGAAAAATTTTATAATTTGCATAAAAATAATCACATTTCTTTTTACAAAACTCAACTCGCAGAAACTTATTAACTTATTGATGAACACGGGGCGGACGTCGAAACGGGAGTTAAACCGGAAACCTCGCGATATTATTATTGCATCTCGGTCGCAAGGGACAATATACCGAGTACTTTCCAATATTACGAAAGCCAATAAGTCCCCGCCTTCGCGGACGGACGAGCGAAGGAAAACTTGCGAGAAGCAAGATCGTGTCTTGTCAATCGCGTAATGTCGCGTTTTCGCTGCTGGTTTCCTTTCACTGTCGCGGCGAATCTGTGTGTATATATATATATATTTTTTTTTAAATATCGATATGTGTATGTGCATCGATATAGCGCACGCCAGCTGCAACGCACCTTCGCACCATGCACAGGTGCGCGAGCTCCTTATTGATGCTGTCCGCGAAAGCGAGGACTGCTGCAGTTCGCACCTGACTAGTGCATTTGTCGGAGCACAAACGTCAGTCAAGGTTCAAATTCTCTCAATGCGGTCTCTTACAATTAGTGCTGGTTACTAGGAAGTCTGTGAGCTCTTCCATTTACAGTTGATAATTCAATGCGTGACTCACTATACCTTTAAAATGCGTCGAACTTTAATCTTCTGCAAGCGTATATTTAATGAGGTTTTTTAAATCTTTAGAATAAAGTACGCGGAGAGAATTTCTTTTAGAATTTACCTTGAAAATCATGTAATCGTGGGACAATATGGTATTGGAAATAAGAGTTTCTCTGATTAATATTTACTTACAATAAAAAAATATTAATGTGTACATAATAAAATTAATCGAACATATTTTATATCTTATTGTGGTAGACATTAACTTTTTTTATTGTGGTAAATATTTAACCAGAGAAACTTTTACACAAGTTCTGTTGCTCAAAAATATTGGATGGAACGTCGATGCAAGTAGAATTAAATAAAACGATATCTTTTTTAATATATCACAGTATAATACAATTATTGCAATGCAGAGTCGGAATTTTAACTGGAATTTATTAACAGAATTAACAATGCTTGATTACCTTCTCCAGTTTTTACTCTCTATGCACTTCTCTATTCGTGTAAGTTTAATTTTATTCTCGCTTCCTCCGACTCTTGAATTCTATAAATCTCCTTCCCGTGGATCTTGTAGTACTTCAGTATTATTCAGAAAGGTCAAGCGTAACGGGGCTGGAATTTGCACCCGTTTCTTTGTACTCTATGAACTTTTATAAAATTTTATATTAGGCTTTTATTAAATTTGCTTTCAATATTCTCATTATTTATTGCACGCGGAAATATGGAAGGTCTTATAAATTTGTAAGACTAATTTGTATCTCCTGTGGCACTCGCACGTAAATTGCGACATTAAAATTACTCTAGTCGCAGCTTGTTGCTAATGCAAATAATGTCTCTGAAGGACTTCTCGCGTTACAAATTCCATTATTACTGCTGACATAATGTTAATATATATTCAAAGGCTCTTGCCTATAGTATTACAAAATTATCATCGCTTACACTATCTTTTAGATTGTTTGAGCTTTCAAATTTCTTAATAGTGATACATCAATTTCACATATAAATAGGGGCATATATATTAATTTAATTAATTTCCTATAACTATAAAAATGACATTTAACGAATACCTTCTGGGATATTTATTTTTCTATCAACTGCTATAATTCTGCCTCTTGTACGTGCTGCAGCCTGGTGGAAGTATAAGGAACTCTTATTACACTTCGTCTATTTAATGATCTGTAAGACATAAAGTATGTTATTATCTTGCAATGAAAGGGGTTAATTCAATTTTTTTAATTTGACATTTCAAAGCTAAAAAATTACAAAAAGATATTCTATATATTTTTCTTACTTATATTGATTATATATTACAAAACTCTCATCTTTATAATAAAAAAGATTATAAAATTTTTATCACACGTATATATAAGTAATGAGGATACAATTTTTTAAACTTACATTTTCAACTTGGAAATGAATTTTATTATTACAGTTTCGTTCTTGCAATGCAAGAAATATTTCTATCACATTATGTATCAATATTTTATGACCTGCTTCTACGCAGAGAGAAGGGTCTATTCTTTATTATTGACGCATTGTTACTTTACGCATAGACATTCCGTACTGATCCATTGTAATCTTGAGCTAAACCGGCGTCGAGAGTGGCGCTCAGCTTTTCCTGTACGTGACGCGTCGAGACCCCGTTATTTTCAGAATGCAGAAAATACCGGGTGCCCGCTATCAGGCAGGCGACCGTGTTTTCCTTTCATTTCGAACATTATCGAGGGAACGAGAAAGAGGCACGTGACGCGCGTTGCGCATTTAACGCGTGTCTGCTTCTGAAAGGATGGAAATGAACCTCTGTCGCGACAGAACGGATGTGTTCGCGCTTTTTTCCCCGCTTTTGATCGAGAAAGATGGCACCGCGTCGAAAAGCATCAGCGGTATCGAGTTTTATTATAGGATCGTCGTGCGTGCGAAATGTTTTTTGCACCGGACGCGGAAGCAAAATAATCAACGAGGATTTCAATCGTATCAATTTCTACGTACGATATACGACTGTCTATTACTGTTTGCGTGTAAATAGCGCGACATATTCGCAAACAA